AGAGCGCAGTCATTGCGTAACTCTCCCAGTGAGCAGGTAAAGGGTGATGCTTGTGGCTGTCACACTGTATCAGCTTTGTACAGAAGGATTGCATACTCAGCGCCAGCCACAAAGTGTGGTTTCTCAGACCACAAACTGCATCATAGTTTGACTGTCACCCAGATCCTGCACGCCACAAACTGCATCATAGCTTGACTGTCACCCAGATCCTGCACGCCGAAGCAAATCCCTTTATACAGCTCGTCTCAGATAGAACTGGTTTTAATGCTGATTCAGGGCAAACAGAAAATGAAATCAGGCAAGGTTCATACGAGCCCACATGTTGTCTCTCCACGGCTGGATGTTTACATATTAGCACACGTATGTATGTACATAAATGCAGCCCTGCAGAGTCACAAGGGGTTATTTACTAAGCTCTCCATCCAGTCTGGATTACCATAATTGTGCTAAAATCTCCAAACTACAACCAAACTGCCAATTCTTATATTCAATTATTTAAATTAGTTAAGCACATTTTATTCCGTACCATGCCGTATCTGCAGACTACTACATCTACAGCCCTAGAATATGTACGTAGTATTCGATGCACTCGCCTAACTGGAAAGGTCTCCTGCAAGGTTCTTATTTAGATATATTTGTTGTATATATCCATAACTGTATTTTTAAATCTCCAACATATAGTGGAGCGCTGTACATTGGCTAAACCTAACATGCAAGTATTTGCGGCAAAACAAGTTATGCAAGCAGGTACAAGAGGTGACAATCTCCCCGCTGGGACACGATCGCAGCCTGAAGAGCTATAATTACACATGAATTAAACGTGAAGAAAGGAAGCCTGACTGTCCGGTATATCATATACGGTGTTTATACAGACTCATGATGTGCTGGAGGGATGGGAGAGGCGAAGAACAGAGTCGATTTACTGTCACAGCAGACAGTTACAGGCAGGGCCGGTGCAAGGATTCCTGCCGCCTTAGGCAACAATCCATTGTGCTGCCCTCTCATGAATGCAGCTACATTCTCTCAGAGGTTTATTCACTTAATGCTGAATTGCAGTGAAGAGACATTTAGGGAAGGAGACGCACTGGGTAGATGGTAAAGGGACATTGTAGGCACCCAGAGCACTTCAGCTCATTGAGGTGGTCTGGGTGCAGTGTCCCTATTGCACTTAGTGCTGCAATGTAAAACATTGCAGTTTTAGAGAAAGTGCAATGTTTACATTGCAGCACTAGGCCTGCCTCCTGTGGCTGTCCACTAGACAGTCACTGGAGGCACTTCCGGGATGTTAATGGACTTTTGGTCTGGTACGTGACACTGAACGTCCTCACGTTCTGCATGAAGGCATCCAGCGTCAGCTATTTCCCCACAGGAAAGCATTGATTCAATGCTCTATTATGGAGAGGGCCCAATGCATGTGACACTCTCCGTGCATGCGCATTGGCGCTTGCTCGCTAAGGAGGGTGGAGGCAGAGGGAGCTATAGTGGTACACTACTAAACGTTAGTTACAGGGTGAAATTGGGGTACAATACAAAGCATTAGTTACAGGTTGATATTGGGGTACAATGCTAAAAGAGAGAAATCAGTAGTTTAGGTGATATGTTTTCTACAAATAAGCAGACGTTGAAGGATTTCTTAAAGAAATTGAGACTTGGGGTACATCTGATGGAGTTAGGGGGCCTTATAAAAGGCATGTCCTATCAGTGGGAAGAGAGGACTGATGGGGTCGTTGACCAGGATACGATGTATTCAGTGATTACTAAGGGTGTTTAAATTATCCACTGCAGAGAGCATTCTAGGAAGGCACATAGATTTTATATTTATTCCAAAATAATCCAGAATGCGAGTGTGAGAATAGAACTAACGTCTAGGTTTTAGTCCCCTGGGAGGTGGTGGTGGGAGCAGGAGCCTGCTAGAATATCATGTTGTGTATAGACTACATGCTTGGAGAAAGCTGTAATTGTCAGGCTACACTTAATACAGGGATCCTTAGCCCCTATTAATATTATTATCATTATTATTATTATTATTATTTATAAGGCACCAACAAATTCCATAGCGCTACAATAGGTGGACAAACAGACATTTATTTATAACAAGACGAGTTGGACAGACATGAACAGAGGTTGCTGAGGACCCTGCTCAATGAGTTTACATTCTAAAGGGAGTGGGGTAAAGGGATATTACAAACTGTGGGATGGGAGCTTTGTAACTGTTTGATATCAGGAAGTCCGGAGCAACCTGTCAGTAACACTCTGTGTCCTTCCTACCATGATGTAACTGGGGGACGAAGTTGCAGTCTTTAACCTGGCTCTTCTAGAACCCACAGAGAGTGTTTCTGCTTTGCTTCTGTTAACAGTGAGTTTCCAGAACAGAAAGGAGCTCAGAGCTGGGAGCCCTCACCTCACGGCTGATTGTTCACAGATTTCATCATGCTGCCATTGTTACCCCAAACACACAAACAACATCACAAACACCACGTACAATAAACATAATCCATGGCATGTTACTGGGACTCCGCTGGTTAGAAAAGAGTCTGTGAAACAACTCAGAATACATTGCTACTGTAACAGCACAGACTCCTGCACTGCCTTCCAGATCTCTGCGATACTGGTAACAGGCTTCATTATTCCTGGAATAAAAACCTTAATTAGTGTGTCATATTACAATCAAAGAATGAGCTAATGCTATTTATATAACTGGTGCCCCCCTATAAGTTAAATTTAAGAACCACTTCTCTAGAGAGAGGTGACATACTCTGTGGCGCAGTACAACTGTTTGCAGAACTCAGAGAGTGTTTGATTAAGCTCTTGAGTGCCAGAAGTCTAGTCAATATCTTAAAGTTACAGACTTCTTGCAGCATGGTTTGATGTAACTCTATGGATTAGATGTCACTAAGAGAGAGACATTTACTAATAATACATTAATAAACCGGCAATAATTACACATATACTGTCACGGCATGGTTAGTGGAACCAATGCATTCCTAAATATATTGGTTTATTTAATGTTCTCATAATGCCCTGTGTGTAGAGTATATAGAACCCCCCATGGAGTCATTAGAATTAGAATACTATACGGTAACTGACATATTAATTGGGTATGTTTAAAGGATCACTATAGTGTCAGGAAAACATAGCGGGTTTCCTGACACTATAGTGCCCTGAGGGTGCCCCCACCCAGAACAAAATATCTTATTCACACAGACTGATTTCTAAACTAATTACCGGGAGTATTATTGCTGTGACATTACTGGGAGTATTATTGATGTGTAGCTCTGTTATACACTCAGACACATTACTGGGAGTATTATTGCTGTGGAGCTCTGTTATACACTCAGACACATTACTGGGAGTATTATTGCTGTGGAGCTCTGTTATACATTCAGACACATTTCTGGGAGTATTATTGCTGTGGAGCTCTGTTATACACTCAGACACATTACTGGGAGTATTATTGCTGTGGAGCTCTGTTATACACTCAGACACATTACTGGGAGTATTATTGCTGTGGAGCTCTGTTATACACTCAGACACATTACTGGGAGTATTATTGCTGTGGAGCTCTGTTATACACTCAGACACAGACTGGGAGTATTAATGCTGTGGAGCTCTGTTATACACTCAGACGCATTCTGGAGTATTATTGCTGTGGAGCTCTGTTATACACTCAGACACATTACTGGGAGTATTATTGCTGTGGAGCTCTGTTATACACTCAGACACATTACTGGGAGTATTATTGCTGTGGAGCTCTGTTATACACTCAGACACATTACTGGGAGTATTATTGCTGTGGAGCTCTGTTATACACTCAGACACATTACTGGGAGTATTATTGCTGGGAGTATTATTACTGTGGAGCTCTGTTATACACTCAGACACATTACTGGGAGTATTATTGCTGTGGAGCTCTGTTATACACTCAGACACATTACTGGGAGTATTATTGCTGTGGAGCTCTGTTATACACTCAGACACATTACTGGGAGTATTATTACTGTGGAGCTCTGTTATACACTCAGACACATTACTGGGAGTATTATTGCTGTGGAGCTCTGTTATACACTCAGACACATGACTGGGAGTATTATTATGTGGAGCCCTGTTACACACTCAGACACATACTGGGAGTATTATTGCTGTGGAGCTCTGTTATACACTCAGACACATTACTGGGAGTATTATTGCTGTGGAGCTCTGTTATACACTCAGACACATGACTGGGAGTATTATTGCTGTGGAGCTCTGTGATACACTCAGACACATTACTAGGAGCATTATTGCTGTGGAGCTCTTTTATACTCTCAGACACATTACTGGGAGCATTATTGCTGTGGAGCTCTGTTATACTCTCAGACACATTACTGGGAGTATTATTGCTGTGGAGCTCTGTTATACACTCAGACACCAACAGCAATATGGGACTGTCCCTCCTAAATAGGGACACTTGGGAGGAATGTTTCATCTGAAGATACCGAGTTTCTTGACTAAGTTGAGAATTGTGGCAAACAAAGGAGAAAACTAAATTTAGGCAAAAATTTTATTTTATTATAGGTATTGTGGCCAAAAATGTACAATAGCCTTGTTGTCAGTTCTGCCAGTCCCTGGGCTCTCTGCTTTAGTGAAGTGTCCTGTAATTTGGATGTTACTGTATGAAATAATAGATAGAGCATGACCACTTCCTCCAACTGAAACACAGACTAACATCCTGCTTACTGATAGCAATTATTTTACCCAATAACAAGTGAAAGGAATTAGGAGTAACTTGGCCTATTTTCGTGGTCAATTGGGCTGATTCGTTCAACCACGGAGTCTGGGGGATGGGGAGCAGCTCAGTAACTCTACATGTTATGGATAAACAGCCATTGTGGGACAATGTTCTAGAAGCAGGGCAATCACTCCCAATAGAATGTTCTGTCAATTGCCCCACTCATGGAATGTTGGCCCAGAGCCGCTTTTTACGCAGAATCTCTTTTCTAAAATATATTGAAATACCGCAAACCAAAACAAAATATATCTGCTGTCATAGCCCTCGTTTAACATAGAAGACTTCAAGGCAGGAACTTTCCGATGTGAGCCGGCCAGCCAGGGGCTTTTCTAGGTGACACAAAAAACAAAGGTTTTCAACCCAAAGATAATTTGTCTGGGTCCAGTTCAGTCCGCCAAGCAAAGCTCCTGTACAGGATCAGCTCATTGACTGAGAGCATCAGCTGAGTGCACTCGGCCACGAGTGCCTCCTTGCACTGCTGGACTTAGCTCAGACCAGGACCTTCTATCTTCAAAGGAGGTGATGGTGGCTACTCAGTGAACCTTAATCTGGAAGAGATCCTTCCATCCTCTTGGAACCATAACCACTACAACATTCTCTACTGGTTATAGTGCTTGGAGTGTTGTGGGAAATGTAGTTCATTACGATATAGACTAGTAGTACAGTTAAAGGAAACAGGTTTTTGAACTTGATAAACGATCATTTCATGTCTCAACTAGTAGAAGCACCAACAAGAAGCGATGCTTGTCTGGACTTGTCATAACTAATAACGTAACCATATTTTTACCATTCAAGTAAGGGAGCACTTGGGAAATAGTGACCATAATATGGTATCATTTGAGATTACATTAGAAAAAAAACTAAATTATATGGGCTGTGTATGAGACATATAGGGTCAAAAACCCTTTATTTACTCACCAAATTCCAGCACCGATGTCCCTCAAATCTGGATTGGAGCTCTGCCTTCTCTATCGTCACCCATTGGGGGAGGGGGGGACTAATGTGCACACAAGAGCATTAACGTGCCACAAGAGTATTAAATCAATGTTTTCCTATGGGGATTTCACTGATGCTGGATGTCCTAATGCAGAGCGTGAGGACGTCCAGCGTCATTTAAAGGACCCAGAGTCTGGTAAACTCCCGGAAGTGCCTCTAGTGGCGAGGCTGTCTTAGTACTGCAATGTAGACATTGCAGGTTCTCAAAAGCTGCAATGTTTTACATTGCAGAACTAAGGAGGAAAGGGGCATTGCACCTAGACCACTTCAATAAGCTAAAGTGGTCTAAGTGACTATTTTGTCCCTTTAATCAAGGAGGGTTAGGACAAGGCAGAAATTCTAAATAATTATTTTTCTTAAGTATGTAGGGAAGAAGAATTAATGGCTGTATATTTTCAAATCCCTGTTACAAAAGCCTTACAGCAAACATGTGAGTAGTTAACACAGCATAAAGTGCTCCGGAAATTAAATAAAGTTAATGTAAACAAAGACCCAGGGCCAGACGGTATTCACCCACATGTGCTTAGGGAGCTTAGTGTAGAAACACTGTTTTTAATTCTTCAGCATTTGTTTATTTCAGGAATTGTACCAGAGTATTGGAGAAAAGCATATGTGGTGTATGTAAACAGGATTCGAAAGCTAGACCTGGAAACTACAGATCTGTGAGCTTAACATCTGTGGCTGGAAAAATATTTGAAGGGCTGTTAAGGGATAATATTCAAGAGAGTAGTTGTAAATGGAAAATTTTCAAATTGGAAAATAGTGGTAAGTGGAGTGCCTCAGAGTTCTGTCTTGGGTCAACTTCTCTTGTTATGTTTCTTTATAGATGTTCTTGAACTGGACACTAAAAGTATTTTGTTGCCGTTTACAGACAACACAAAACTTTGTAGAAAATTCAGCCTGGACATGATATAGCTTTGGAGATTTGCATAAATTGTGGCGGCAGGCAAGTGGCGTGAGATTCAAAACAGATAAATGTGAAATCATGCATTTTAGAATAAGGGACCCACAAGCCACTTAAATGGGGTAGAGTTAAATGAAAAGGACTTGGGAACAATTATAGATCACAAACTAGGCAACAGCATACAATGCCGGTCTGTAGTTGCAAAATCTAGTAAGGATCTTTCGTTACCTCTTTACAAACCAATGGTAAGCCCTTGCCTTGAATATGCGATGCAATTTGGGCACCAGCTTTAAAGGAAGATATTGCAGGACTGGAAAAAGTGCAAAGGCGAGCTACAAAATTAGTAAGGGTGATGAAAACATTAGTTACGAGGAAAGGCTAGAAAAACTGGACTCAAAGAGGATATGATAGCACTATGCAGATATATACAGGATCAGAGCAAACCGCTATGTAGTAACCTGATCATTAGCAGGAATATACAACAGACAAGAGGCCACCCATTGAGACTGGAAGAAAGGAGATTTCACTTACAGCAGAGGAAGGGGTTCTTTGCAGTAAGAACAACAAAGATGTGGCATTCTCTGCCTGAAGAGGTTGTGTTATCAGATTATATAGATACATTTTAAAAAGGCTTGGATGCTTTTTTGAATAACAGAATATTGAAGGACATAGTTGGTATTTATGTAAACAGGTTGCTGATCCCAGGAGAAATCTGATTGCCATTATAGAGTCAAGACGGAATATTTTTCCCTTTTTTGTGGCATAATTGAAATATATACATTTGTTTATAAAATATTTTACCAGGAAGGACACATTGAGATTTGTCTTGTTTTCAAGTATGTCCTGGGCCCACTGACACTGCATCGTTACAATAGGACACAGTATAATATTAAAAATACAAAATAATATTAATACACAACACATATATGTAAATTTAACACAGAACAGGTAAGAAATATAACCAAACATGATCACAGGTGGATTCTGTTTTGAGATATGTAGAAGGGGATCTCTTAAAGGATTTTAGGCTGGGGAAGATTTTAAAGTGTCCGGGAGGTCGTTCAATAGTTAGGTAAGGGTGCGTCTTGATTCCAGCGATAGACAGTTTAGTTCTTTTAACGTGGCTACAACTGGGTTTTTTTGTTGTTGTTTTTTGCCTTCTTTTAGATCAACAGCATTAAAGAATGGGTTTCGGGGTTAAATTTGATGGTTTTCCGTCTTTTTTTCAGCCTATGTAACTATGTAACTATATTGAGTGCCGAGCTTATCGCTAATAATCCATTCCTAAGATATTATTAACTACACCTAAGTCATTCTTTTTCCATTCTGTATATTTCTTTTTTTTATTTGCAGCTTACAGAAATTAGTTACCGAGATAAAAGCCTAATCTTCAGCAAACAGGTTTAAGGAGTATTTTTGTCTAAACATTTCTTGAGTTTCCTTTTCCCAGGCTGTTAGATAAAGAGATTTTTTTTTCCCCTGAGCTCTGTCTCTACAAGCTGAGCATCCCCCACCCAGCCTGACACTCTGTCCAGGACCTAGAGGGGGGATGTTACAAAACAAATAATAATAGACCTCCAAAGGCATTCCGGAGGAGAGACTGAAGGACCTTGTGCTCACATGAACTGGACTCAGAAAATGTGCAGCCAAAAAATGAATGAGGATTGAACTTATCAAAGTGAAAGAATAAGTCCCCAAATGTATTTATTTATTATTTATTTATTTATAAAATATTTTACCAGGAAAGATATATTGAGATTTATCTCGTTTTCAATTATGTCCTGGGTCCACAATCGCACTCATGCGGTCCCTTGTACATGGCGGCTGTGTGTGCGCAGGCTTGTCTTGTAAATATAGGCACAAATATAGAGACTTGAGTCACATAGTGATGTCAGTAATATGATGTCACCAGACTCATTCCTATGTAAGTAGTATGACTGTAAACTCATCTCCTCTTGTTTCGATATAATTAAACTTGTTCATGCTCAATTTTGTGTGTGTTTTGCTTACTGATTGCACTGCGCTGTGGAATACATTGATATTTTATAAATACTGTATAATAATTTCTGGATATGTGGCTAAGTCACAGGGTCCGCAGCAGAGATCTGTACGACCTGTTTCACAAATCGTCTTCCCCCAAGTTCCGAGGCTTTGCTATGCCTTTGTCATAGTCAGGCCAGATTTTCCAATAGGCAACTGTCTAAAAGTACATCTCTACTAGGGGAAGCTACCCTGAACACAAATGTTCATTTTTAAAATGTATTTTTTTTAAACTTTTTTATTTTGCTATGTACTAATAAGTGAAACTGATTTTTATTTGCAGCGAGAGAAAGTGAGAGATATACATTCTGATTCACTTGTGTGTCCTCTAAGTTATGGGGCACGCAACAGAGAGCTAGCGTGTTTTTGGGGAGAGCGCTAGAAATTTCTGCACAAATTGTTGCCGCGATTTATCCCTGATGTGTATGTCTAAAGCGCTGTGGAATATCTTGGCTATAAATGACATTATTAATATAAATTCAATTCTCAGGGACAGTTACAATGTTATCTGCTAAGCAAACTGTTTCAAAGGGGAGACTTCTGGAAAACAATCTTTTGGAGTCTATTTAGAGATACAGCCTTAACATCACAATCTGCTTCAGCAAAAACTCTGCTGGTACAATACCAAACAGGAGACTCACAGGGTTAATTAACTAAACTGTGTGAGCTGGGGGCAATTCACAGGGGAATCTCAAATCTGAAATCCTTCCAAACCAGCTACTTTGGTTGTTCGGTTTGGTAAATAACATTAACAGGCCTGATGTTTAATGGAACCTGTTCAGTAAAGGCACTGTATCTTCATTTTGATTGCCAGGCCATTTGTCATTAAGGGGTTAAAATCTCTCTCCTTTTTATGGCTCTTTTTGTAGTGAACCAGTTCACGGTTGAAACTGGACGCTTAAGCGATTATGTATAAAAATTGTCACATTCGCTTTCGAGACAGTTTTGTGTACGTGTGCTAATTGTTATATCAGAATGAGGCAAGACCGAAACCCGGAAGTAAAGGTTTTTCCGCGGCAATTTCAAGATCTTTTTGGAGCCTTATAAAAGAAGGACTTTCTGGACACTTTCTTATCCCTGAAGAAGTCTACATAGACGAAACGCGTTGGATATTGATCAGGAATACCTTTTTTCTTCTTTTTTGTTATTTTATTGTTTTTAGTATATAATAACTTTTTATATTTTTATACTATCACAGAGGGACTTCTTTTCCTCGGTACCACTTGTGAGTGGTGATATGCTGCTATAATCTTCACTTGATGTAAGTGCAATTTGTATTAATAAATCTATCTTTGTTTGCAATACTGCTCTATATACCTCTTTTTATTTGAGGATTGGGTGTTCTGAATCTACGCCTTTTTGGTCCATACACACAAGCCCACTGAGAAAGAATACGCTACTTTAATACCCTATGGAAGGGAGACAAGCGCAGATCTACAGCACGGTCTTGTAAGTTCTCTATCTACGGGACTGAATCATATATTCCTGTACATACTTCACTATTATGTGATTTTTTTCAT